TTTAAAATTTTGAAATTTATGTTAAAAATTGACAACTTCACAATTAAACGGTAATTATGATTGATGAATATGCCTATCCCTGAAAATAACTAATGAAATGACTCGCATTTGGTTAAACTCGTGCTTTGAATGGTGATGGCTCAAGACATTTACTTGTGCGTTGGATTTTTCTTCCAGATGAAGTAAGAGTGGAGTTACTTACTCCTTACCTAAATCCCTGGGATAAATTTTCTCGAAGGGAAAATTGAAAATTGTTTAGACAACAGCGCAACTAGGAAAATCCCCGAATGCAATCACTTAGTATTCCGTATTATTCCGGCGTTATTTCGATATCAGCCGATGCGCTAAAGCGGGATAGGGAGAGGAAGTGGTGCACAATGCCGGAATGAGTGGGTAGATGGAGTTTATTTTTTGCACGGGGAATAAAATAACTAAACGCATCCATAAATAGGTGGCAGCTATGTAATGCGATATGAGGTACATCGTCATTTCGCGTTATTCACACAAGAGGCAGCTGACACGTGCTGCATAGACAAGAACTATTTTACTCTGGGTAAAATAACCAATTAAGTGACTTGTATTTTTTTACAACACGATTGCGTTGGTGAGAATCGACAATTATTCTCAAGACGTTCACTTGGGCGTTGGGTTTTTCTTCCAGATGGAGTAAGAGTGGAGTTACTTACTCCTTCTCTAAATCCCTGGGATAAATTTTCTCAAAAGAAAAATTGAAAATTACTTGGACAAGAGCGCACCGAGAAAATCCCCGGATGCAATCACTTAGTATTCCGTATTATTCCGGCGTTATTTCGATATCAGCCGATGCGATAAAGCGGGATAGGAAGAGGAAGTGGTGCACAATGCCGGAGTGAGTGGGTAGACGGAGCTTATTTTTTGCACTGAGGATAAAATAACTAAACACATCCATAAATAGGTAACAGGTATGTAATACGAAATGAGGTGCATCGTCATTTCGCGTCATTCGCACAAGAGGCTTTTGGGACGTGCTGCAATGCTTAGCGCCACCGCTGATATACAAGAACTATTTTACCCTGGCTGAGGTAAGTACTACTACGAGACTCGTTCGAGTTAACGGCCAACACGTGCTGTGTATAGAGCCAGCGGGGGGATAGCCAGCTTCGACGAGTTTAATGGTGCAGCCTGCACTAGTAGTAAAAATATGAAGCTCGACGGTGATGCTGTAAAACTGTTTTAAAGCCATACCCACCTCACTCTTCGTTTTTGCTTTTTTGTTTTGAGGAATCGATTTCTGTCCTCGTTTCATTTCCCTCCAGTTCTCTCGTTCACCTGTAGTCACAGAGATTTGCGTCTGGGGGAAAATTTTATGCCATTCTCTTCTCGTCAATTCAGTGGGGGGAATGGATTCATCAAATTTCAGAACGTGCCGAGGGGTTAAGGTAAACATGCGCATGAGAGGAACATTTTGCAGGGATGGAATACACCAAGTGAAAATTTCACATTTGGTCAGACATGGAGTAATAAAATGAATTCGGGACGGGAGTACTCTGGTTCATGTGGAAGCTGATGATATCGTTTTTTATTTGAGAATAAAATTGGATGAAATTAGTTTTGACGGTGGCTCGAAAACTACTTGAGCGAAACAAATCTTCTGGTCATGATTTTTAGGTGCTTTCAATATTTCTGGTGAAGACGAATGAATTTATACACTGTTAGAAATTTTCGGTTGAAATTTAATATTATAGCTCAATTGGATTTTCAAGGCATTTCGTCACTAAAAATTCAGAACTTTATGAAACAATCTATGGAAACTGTAAATTTTCGTTCAACTATTACATGAAAATTAGTAGAGAATTTACAATTAATGGAATTAATTATTGATTAATGATTAATTAGTGGAATTTCTAATAATAAATGTGGACGTCCGCATGAAAACGGACCACTTTGTCGATATGGAGTTATGTATGCTCTGATAATATTTATAACATTCCGCACATTTTGAGCCCAAAATGATCTTCATAGCGTGAAAAATGACGTCGCCGAAGCAGATGAAAAAAACACTTTAACATGAGTGTAAATGGGAGTTGCTGAGACAAAAACGTGAATATCTCGGAAATTAGAATCGACAACGTGATCCCTTTTCATGCGAACGTCCACAAATATTCATGTTAATGAAAAACAAATTTTTAACTATTTAGAATCAAAAACCGAGTTCTGACGTCAGAAACATGACTTTCTTGAAAATAAAAATATGTGAAAACAAATTCAAAAAATTTTTTAAATCACGCGGATGACTCCATTAAACGTCCCCCTCGCCTCACGCACACGTCAAACTAAAAACTTTCAATAATTCATATCTCTGAGAAAATTCCTTCCACGATGATCCGCAAAAGTTTCCCCCCAACTTTTTTACCCCTAATATCCTCCCCAGAAGTTATGAGACGTCATTACAGTTATGTATCATAACCCCGTGCTATTCAATGAACGAATTAGCCATTAAATCCTTCTATGACCTCCGCACGTGAGACGCGAAATGAGTTCGGGCAATAGAACCAGGCACAAAAACTTATTGATTCCGAACATAATAATCCAGCATTGGAATGGAGTAGAAACGTATTGCCCCGCTCCAGCCGGTATCTCAAACGCAGTGGAAGGGGTGGTGGCAAGGGAGGGAGCTTTTCCACGTTGGGGTAATAAAACTCCACTTGTCGCATTGGAACAATTTTCCGATTGACTCAGGGGAGTCCAATATCCTCCTGCTTGACTGACTCAAATGTCGTCTTGATGGTAGAGCTAGGTTGTACCTCTTGTTCCTTTTACCGGGCAGAATTCAAAGTGTCGCAACTGCTATTTGACATTTTCTCCAGCGCTGGGATATTTTAAATTGTTTCTTTCGCGCGCACTTCCATCCCATTTTTTTTTCTCTCCATTTCTCTCCCATTTGCTCTGTGCACACTCGCAAAACGGAGACGAGGCTTTCCTCTCTATATGGATCTATCTGTACACAAGGGTAATGTCAACTGTCGTTTTGCGATGGCATCAAAGTCAAGGGAAGGGTGAGCAGTGCAGCAGGCAAAAGCCAGAAGCCGATGCTCAAGTTTACGGTGGAATGCCGGCTGCTAGGGTTTGGTCTATCTCGTTCAACTCGTAATCCAACGGGTAAAGGATCTGAATGTACGTTGGGGCTACTGCCAACATGTTCAAGTTAAATAATAAAAAAAATGAGAGGGAGGGGGAAATGCGAGGAAAAAAAATGATCCACTTGTGCGGAAACCTCGTACGCCAGGGCTACGTTGAAAGCGCCCTGGGCTCATAATTTGTTATGCGCACATACGAACCTTTCTAATTTCATCATTTCCGTTTTACGGTTGACATGATCGAGCAGACCGTGGGTGGGAGCGAATTGAGAGACGCGCGACTTCTTTACCCCCCAGGGGCCCTTTGACGTCAAACGCCGTCTGAAATGTTTCGCAGACTGTGAAACAACTTAAGTAAGATGACGTGCCGAGAGGCGCTACCATACCTTCTGATGCATGGTGTATATTGAAAGAAATATTGGGGGAGAGTACGTACACTGTCACAGTTGCTCAAAAGGGAGAGTCATTCATGTGGAGTTCCTGGAGTTTTTTTTTCTCTTTTGAATGTTACCATTCTATTCTCCACGAAATTCTTCTCGGATCAAGGGTGAAAGTATTTTGGAATTGTCTATAAATTCTTTGCGATGCTGACAATAGATTTTATGTATTATATTTCATTTTTTTATTATTTACGATTTTTATTTTTTATATTACCTGTATATTCGCGTTTGAAATTTTATTTTTTTTGGGCAACACACAAAATTTACGATAAATCTCGCAGTCGATGAATTTCTTGTTTTGAAATAGAGAGGACAATTCAGAGTCTATGTAAAGATAAGAATATCGATTCCTAAATTAAGAACTTGCTTCCCATTCAAAGCTTTATTTTTCCACTCGAATAATGGAATGGATTCTTGAACCATCTTTCTGGTAATAAAAATCCTCCTTTTACTATTTAGGAATAATTACGTCCTGCACACGAAGTGTCTAGTTAATTCGAGATGCGACTAATTCCAGATTTTTTCGACGAGTCTTTCACACAGAATTGACAGAATACTTGAGAAGTCTTGAAAAAGAATAAAATTTCCAATACTCAGTGATAAATTCGACTTTTATTTGAAACGTTTCAGCGAGTCCAATGAAGAAGTACAAAAATGAACGTGTGACCGCTAACGATAAATTTACAAAAACGATGGCCGCTAGGAGTTTCAAAATTAACCTGTGAATACTGATAATTGATACCTTCGATGCTTCAGCGTTACTGCGAACCATTCTCTCGATATTTCACTGGGTAAATAAAATATGTTCTTTATGATATGTATAAAATAGACTCTACATCTTTTATCCAGCGAAGGAGAACTGCTCCTTCCCAATGACAATTTCTATTCCAACGTAAAATATAGTTCTTAGATTCATTTAAAATGTAAAAACCTTAAGTTCATATTGGAAGACGATAATACCAGGTTGAATAATCCTTAAGACCTAGGGGATTTTAAATCATCTATGAGATAACGATTTTATGGCAATTGATTGGCAGTTGTTCAACAAAATTCGAGTCTTCGACCCCCTAGAGAAGAATTGAAAGGGAAGACTTTACTTGTCGAATATTTTGACCTGAAAAGTCCTGACTGAATTACTATAGTTGTCCCGTTTAGGAGGTTTCCAGCTTTTCCAAGTAGTCGTCCAACTCGAATATTCAAACCTGAAAAAATCTCCGGCAATTCTCCTCTAGCCCATACCTCCTTAATAAATAATTAGCTGCAATATTTTCACTTAACAAAGTCAGAAAATTATGGAGATTCGATACGTATTTGTATTTATTCCAAATGATTTCCCTTTAGTTACACCTGGAAACCTCGTAAACGGGCGTAATTCAGCCGTCGTCTCCCGGATTTTTCAGGTCAAAATATTCGACTAGGGTTTAGTGTCATTAAATAAATATCTCTAGACGTTAATGTTACAGGGTTTCAATTCCATAAACTGATACGGCACGTGTAGCGTTGTATTGTTGTGCTCAACGAGCAGATGGCCACGCCTCGGTGATGCACCCACAACAAGGACTGTTTCACCTTTAAGAAGTACAACTTCGCCATCTCCCTCCTCTATAACGATAACAATAAAAATGAGAATAATAATAAAAACACTCGAGCCATGGAGTTACGGGACTAATGATAATCCGTAAATGTCTAGAAATTTACGACAAATCGAACCTGGAAAAGGCATTTTCATAACTCGTGTCTGAGGATATCCCAGCTTAGTGTTCCCAGTTACTGTGTAGGATCTGCTGGGGGGCACTGGTGGTGGTCTCTCCTGTCAAATTATTTCCAGTTATTTTCGAATTGATTGGAGTTCTTGGCTCTTGGGGCATGGGGGGGGGGGGGAAGAAAAATACGACGAAACTTACCAAATCCAGGCCGAAGAGGGTGCAAGTTTGTTGTATCATTTTCTGGTCTGCACATTTTTCAGTGGGATCTGGAGGGGGAGTGCCAGCTATTGGCTGTGGTCTTGGTCGAGTGCCTGTACCAGTGCCTCCGTTTACACTCCTGGGGCGAGTGCCTGTGTGGCTTGGTTGCTGTGGCTGCTTAGAACTGAGGTTTGAAGTCACTGGTAAAGGCGCTCTCCGCATCGGCCATCGCTTGCGCACTCTCCACCCTCTCCAGGTTGTCTGAAATTGTTCGCCGAACAACTTATTTGAGGAATCACATGTCGTAGAATTGTTTATTATGTGACAATATTTTGAATAAACAAGCTGTATTCTATAATTTACACTGCGAGTTTCTCGTGATTATCTTTATATAACAACTCTCTTTGATCGACGGAAATTAAAAAGAGAAACTATCGACAGGCTTTCTCAAATGCCTCTTTTTTTTTATCATAATCCCGTACAGAAAAATCCGTCTTCGTAACGAAGGTTTTTCCTTCGGTTTCTATACTCACGTCCTTCTTGCTTGTTCATGAACCGTATAAAAATTTAAATGTACTCATTTTAAAGCTTATTAAATGAGCTTCAAAAGGACACTTGATTTACCCAATTCTATCAATTTTTCATTAACTTACGAGAGTTTTAGGCGAAAATTGAATTTTCATGTTTCACTTGAAAAATTAACTTTGGTTGGATTTTTCGATGCTTCTAAGTGGACTAGGCAGGTATATCTACATATCGTTTTAAAGAGTATCTACTATTCTTTAAAATGGTGTATGATAAGTCTGATTGAGTTCAATTTTTAGTAAGTTATTGTAGATTGTTTCCATTTTTTACGTTATGTCACACCTCGGAATTGAAAGTTTTTACCATTTATCGAAGCCTTAGACTTGAGTAGTGGGGATATATCATATGTGGGTTTCAGGGTCTCATCAAATTCTTCAAATTGAGACCCAATGTTATCTACTCCATCCACCGGATCAATTGTTATAAGCGATAATGCAGCGATTTTAACATGTCACGTTTTGAAAATTTCCATATTTTTTCTTTTAATGACGAGATTTGCTCGAATTCTCTTCCAATCTGTGGAGATATCTTATGCTCAGGTGAAGAAATATTTAGTTACCTTGAAATTGATCCGTGAATTGCTTGATTAGAGCTAATTTTCCTTAACTTATGGGAGTTTTTAGCCGAAAATTGGATTTTATGATGTTTATAGTAAATTCAGATTGGTTTTGATTTTTCTATAACTATTGGCCAAGTAAATGAAACTATTCGTGTACCATTTCAAAGGTTATTCGTTGTTATAGAACGTAAAGATCAGGGAATCATAATTCAAAAAATCACGATATATATCGATCTCACGCAAACTGCACGGAGAAAAATGTTCAGTCAAAATTACGGACCTCACAGCTCGCTCACCGATTACGGAATCGACTCCGAAAATTTAAGTGACGGTATCCTAATTTTTCACAGGAGGTTCAGCTAAAAATTGCGGAACGCTCTGGAAAAATTCCGCGACAGTCCGTAAAATTTCCTACAACCACATTTCGCTCCGTGATTACGGAAAAGATACGTAATTTTTATTGCATACTTCTTCCCGTGCGGCTAGCGCGCTTTTCATCGAATTCAAAAAAATTGAATAGTTACGGTTTTTAAGTTGATCTTGAGATATCTTTCTCATTAATATTACTTTTTATAAATGTACAGTGAATTTAAGTGAGTTTAAGACCTTCAACTATTTTCCTTTCGAATCAATCATCATTAGCAGGTATAAAGAAAGAATGAATTCAAATTATCGCGTCAATTCCCCCCTCGACCATTTCAAATTGACCGAATTCTGAAAAGACGACTTATCGGATTTTACAGAGAACCCCTTTAGCAATTCCGCAACGTTTTAATTAGTCCCATTGAAGTACCTGTATAGCAGTGGCAGCTTTTCTCCGCGTTTCTGATCTGAGATTTTCCAACTGCTGTCGGATACCCTCACTGAGGAAGATATGCCGTTTACCAAGTGCCCAGCTGGTGCTAGCGCCAAACTTACTCTTCACTTGTTGTGCATTTTGGAGAATAAGTTTTGTATCCTCAACAGCCTGCTCCTCGGCTCGCCGCAGCTGCTTAAATGGTGCGATTAGTCTGTATCGTGCGTTGAATGCCTTAAAACGCATTCTGTGGGGATAGCCTGTCGAAATGTTTTTTCATTCGTTACAGTTGATTACCGAGGATTTAATAATGAGGCTGTAAAATCAGCACACATTCGCAGCGAAGGGAAAATTCTTACCGCCCGCCATGAGATTCACTGTCTCGAGAACCTGCAGCGATCTTATTTGTCGCATTGCAACTCCTCTGTCTAGATGAAGTGGAGTTTCGGTGGCATTGCTTCGTATACATCTTACGAAATGCGGTCTAGCATGCACTAGGGTTCTCAGTAAATTATCAAGACGCGTGTGGAAATCCTGAGTGAGAGTGGAAATTGGCTCATCCCCATTTAGACTGAGATACAAAGTAAAAAGAAATTGAAATTGAACCACCGAAAACATCAAGCAAATTCATTTCAAAATAAATTACATGTTTACTAACAGATCTGTATGAGATGTCGGTGATATCCTGAAGCTCACGCCCCTCGGCACTGTATCACTGGCATAAAGTGCTTTCAATTCACTCCCAAAGAGATGAGTGGCGAATCCAAAATTACACGTGTGCTTGTAAAACACAGCAACAAGATCGTCTGGCACTACATCCTTATTCGTGTCTGAATAAAAATAAGGGGAAAAATAACGTTCCACGAAACGTGTAAAATAAATTGGTAAGAATATTTCTCTACCCCGAGGTTGAAGGAAAAAAGCCCTAAAGCATCACCTGTATACCTTGTCAGTAAAGTTTCAAGTACTCACCAAGGAAATCAGAGGCATCATACGTGACTCTACCAGCAAAGTGTTGAATTCCAAAAGACCTGCAGTCAAGACTTCTCGGGTCAAATAATCGTGGATTCTGCTTGTGTTGCACTTTAACCTTGGCAACGTAACTCTCAGCGGTGCCGCGCATTGAAGATTCAACATCAAGCATGCTCAGTAAACCCGTACGCTAATCGTTGAAAGGCAATATGTTAAATCTTATGGCCTTCTCTCTTTTCAATTAAAGTAGGATAAACATAACTCAAAATGCGAAGATCAAAATCTAGAATAGCTTCTGAACGCAATTAATTGCAGTACATATATTCTAGTTAAAGTAGTATGGATAAACTTCCGTTGAGTCGTTGAGGGTAGCGAGAAAAAATTAATTCAAAAAGATGGAAAAAAATTTATCATTGATATCTTTTCCCGTGAATTCTAAATTCGATCCATCAAATTCTTTCTTCAATTATTTTGTTAAATAATAGTCTATTGTTTGAGGGGGATGTTTCAGTCATTGGCAACCTTGTTCTAATAGAAAAGTGGAATGAGCTGCACTGTTAAAAATTTTTCTCTGAAATTTCCGATACACTTTTGGGAAATTTTTATCGAATTTAATTACCACTCAAATTTCAAGGAATTTCGTCACTGAAAATTCAGAATTTCATGGAAAAATCAAACAGGACTGTAAATTGACATTATTGGCTTCCGGATGGATGCCGCGTTTGGTTTCAGCATTGCGCCGACGTTTCGCAAACATTGCAGTCTGCACCTTCAGGGCTATATCGCATTAAGTGTCACTGTCCTGAAAATTGAGAGCCAACGGTCCATGAAATTTCATTTTTTTTCTAACAATGTGTTGTTATCAAGACTTCTCAACTATTAATGACATTCTTTAACTATTAACTGTAAATTTCCGTTCAATTTTTCCCTTAAAATGAATAAAAAACTAGAAAATTGCGGTAAATATATTCTTGAATTTTTACGACAGTGACACTGAATGTGATTTAAGGGGAAAAAATTATGTAATTTCAGATTTCACTGAAAATTCAATGTAATTTGGTACTAAATATTCACACTAGATTGGAAATTCAAATAAATTAAGCAATTCTCCTCTTTATGCCGTTTAAAATTCTGGAATTTGACTGAATTTTCAGTGAACCCTGAAATTTCCTGATTTTTTCCCCTAAATCGCATGCACTGTCCTGAAAATTGGTAATCAACTGTCCATGAAATTTCATTTTTTTCCAACAGTGAGTTGTTATCAGTGCTTCTTCACTATTAATGCCATTCATTAACTATTAACGAGTTATAATTTTTACAATCGACTCCACTATTAAACGAAACATTCCAATTAAACTGGATAACGGCCGCTTTTTTCCATATTATCTACCTTTCAATAAACGAAACGTCCCGATTAAGAGGGATAACGGCCCGTAAACCTAGTTGGACGGCGTTAAAAAAACGTAGAAACATCGTATAAAAAATTATCAATAATGAATAGTTATTCTGTTGGGCATTTCAAACCTATTTTCCCCGTTACAGTTAACGACTTGACTGAAGTCTATTCAAACTCCTTTAAGACTAAACATTGACGTAGTATATTCGGTTAACCGACATATTCTCCAAAGATGAAAGCATATGGAATTTAATACGTTGTCTCATTAGTACTGGAATTTTCCTTTGATAAAACTCACCAAGGATGATATGAGATCAATACATGGTACGTTGTCAACATAATCCACCTCAACATCACACCGTATACCCTCATCACGGCAGCTTTCAATGGAGCTCTTAAATATGTGGGTATTGTAAAAGTGCTGCATAGTCTCGGCGCACAGATTTATGCATAAATGTTCAAGCTGACTCGGCTTTGGATCCTCAAAGCCAAACATATCAAGTATACCAATGAAGCCGTCTGTTGCGTGCCTCACGGCGTTGTTCAGGGCTGTCATACTTCGGGAGCCTGTGCCACCTTTGAATATTTTTACAAGCGATATTGATCAGGCAACGGAACTCATTCGGTGCTTAAGGGGTGGAGTTTCGGAGCGTGGAATGAATTTGACATCTCCGATGTCATTCAATCATGCACATCGTTGATAGTTTTCAATCATTTCATGATCGATTCATTCTAGGAGACGGTGTTTCATAACTAACAAGTGGATGATTGAATTTGTTTGTTTTGTATTATACTGTTAAAAATTGTTGTCTGAACTTTCCGTGTTTAATCCGGAAATTTTTATCATGTTTAATTTTCTCTGAAATTTCAGGATATCTTGTCATTGAAAAATCGAATATTCCACTGATTTCCTGTAAAATACTCGATTTTTCAGTTCCATTATTCCGTCAAACATCGTCACTATGTAAATGCGATTATGAAGAAGAAAACATCGATCACGTCATATCATGCACGAGAATTCGTAATTAGACTAGATAAAAACTCTCTTGTTATAATTACCGAGTTTCTTCTCAAATGTTCAATAAAAATCTGAAGTGTATTGTTAATAATTCTAAGCTATCATAACATCTGTAAATAGTTCACATGGTCTCATTTTTAAATAAATAAATATGTATACAAATTGAACTGTAATTGTTCAGAAATGCTTAATAGAAAAAACATATTCCGTGAAATTCCGGAAAAATCTGGAAAATTCAGGGGAATTTTGAAAATTCAGGTCATTTTGTTTCTGAATATTCATGTTTCATTGGAAATTTAATCAAGTTGCAAACTTTGCGCCTCACTTCCACTGAAAACTCGTGAATTTCGTCGAATTCTACCTAAAACTTGAAATTTCAGAACTATTTTTCCTCTAAATCGGACTCAATGTCATTCTCATGAGAATTACTACCATATTTTCCCTGAAATTTCGAAAAGTTTCCAACACCCGAGTAGAAATTTCACGGCGCAAAAATGTCGCGACGTGAGTTGGGGCGCGGCATTCTGTGTTATAGGTGTAGCCACTTTGGTTCAATGTCGCAGAATTTCGATCAATTTCTACTAGGGCAGTGTAATTGATGGATTCGGAATAAAAGTCAATAATAGTCAATTATTTTTGAGGGAATAATTAGTCCGAACAATTACATGTTCCACGAAAGAAATCTTTTGGCATTTTGAATCAATTCAAAACATCATAATTTCCACGGAATAAATGATAATTTCAAGAAACAATAGGAATTTCCTTCCCGAAAGCTGGCTGTTAGCAAAATTATTGTCTTTTTACGGTTCTAATGGAATTCATCATAAGAAGCTCGTGCTATTTACATTTTATATAAAATGTGTTGATTGTATAGCGCAGAAGAAAAACGATTATTAATGAAAAAAAACATCATACCAGCAGAACTACCAATAGTCGAGGCGTGCTGGCTCGTCACTTCCGCCTGATTGTGTACGGATTCATTGGAATCAGACGACAGTGTACCCAGTGTTGATCCAAGCCTCTTCAGACTGTTGGCACGTCTCACAATAGTAGCAACCGTGCGACAATAAAGGGCCTTTGCCAGTGAGTCCCTCGTCATGTTGGACTGTACAACAAAACATGGTACAGAATAATTCATTAGTTAACATGTAGTTCTCCCAGAAACATATTCCCCATTTTTACCCCCGTCCCCAACGCATTCCTCCCATCCTCGAGAGGACCATAAATAATGATTAATGGGCTTACCATGTTTGCATCGCAAACAGATTTCACCAGTTGTCCTCTTGCATTGTGTGTCCTTGATGTGAGACCCCTTAATAATGCAGGCGGTGGTACACCCAAAAGCGCTGCAACAGACGCCAACTCGTTCTCACCGATCACACTGACCTCCACACCGGGACCATCGGTGAAACCAACATTGCCAAGAATGAGAACTGCCGCTAGTACGCGAACAACATCCAAGAATGGTATGCCCAGAACGCCTGGATTGACATGAAAATTCAATGGGATTTGGGAATTATTCTGGGGCACTCGGATAAAAGGAGAGGAAGGCAGTTTTGGTGAGCTAATTTTCTTTAATACCTAGACAAGCCTTCCAGGATTGAAATCTCACTGCATCCTCTGCCTCGTCCTGTCGACTATCACCCTGCTGGAGGTATCGTAAATTTTTGACGTTGTAACCCTCCAAATTCAGTTTTACTGCAGAAACACAAGTCGTTAGTTGCATGATATCGTGGGTTTTATTGTGCGGATGCGGAACGGAATATTCGTTCTTAATTGGTGGAATAATTTTCCGTCATCCGAAATATTAGTTGAGGTAGTTCATTATTTAATAAATTTAATTCATTTATTCAGTAAATTTCGTATTTAGTATTGATGTCGTTTATTTAATGAAGCTTATCATGTTCACGAAAATTTACATATTCCTTTTTCATAAAGTTGATTGACAATGAATGATTGTTTTGATTGTTAACTTTTTATTCGCCTTGCGATTGGTTGATGGATCATTCAATGATTTCCATGACAACGATTATGTTATTGTGCGTTACAGCGCTCACTTGAAGGTGGTCACGCGCGACAGCGCGCATGATTGCCTAGTTCTTCTTTAAAATTGAACGATCAAACATGAAGTATTCTTCAATTTAACAAAATCATAACGTTCCATAGTAAAGTCCACTATAAAGCTCCTGAATAACTTGAGTGAAATTAATAGCCATCTAGTGAACCGTTCAGTATTCGAACTATTCCAGAAGAAATAGGGGAGAGCGGAGTAAAATGCGATAGAAACGTATAATGGACCGCGGGCTGGAATAGAATAGTATGAAGCTTAATCAATATATAGCTCTTTCTAGCCAACAATGTTAGGTAGCGCAAGTACGGGTAAGTTGGGAATTCGGGGAAGATGGACATCAGTGGTTATTTCGTCAGGATGCATGCAAAATATTTCTAGAGCCATTCTGGCGTCTACCTCATATCTCTAATGGAGTGATCAATCTAATTCACTGTCCATTTTGCCCCACTTGCCTCTCCCTAATTAGGTATAATGTCCTCTTCACCTCCTCAGAAAATTACATCGTCTAATATTTTCCAATCAAATCTGTAATCGCAAGTCGTTAGTTGCATGATATCGTGACTTTTATTGGTCGAATGCGGAACGGAATATTCGTTTTTAATTGGTGGAATAGTTTTCTGTAATCCGAAATATTAGTTGAGGTAGTTCATTATTTAATAAATTTAATTCATTCATTTCATTTATTTAATGAAACTTATCATGTTCTCGAGAATTTGCATATTTCTCTTTAAAATTGAACGATCAAACATGAAGTATTCTTCAATTTAACAAAATCATAACGTTCCATAGTAAAGTCCACTATAAAGCTTTTGAATAACTTGAGTGAAATTAATAGTCATCTAGTGAACCGTTCAGTATTCGAACTATTCCAGAAGAAATAGGGGAGAGCGGAGTAAAATGCGATAGAAACGTATAATGGACCGCGGGCTGGAATAGAATAGTATGAAGCTTAATCAATATATAGCTCTTTCTAGCCAACAATGTTAGGTAGCGCAAGTACGGGTAAGTTGGGAATTCGGGGAAGATGGACATCAGTGGTTATTTCGTCAGGATGCATGCAAAATATTTCTAGAGCCATTCTGGCGTCTACCTCATATCTCTAATGGAGTGATCAATCTAATTCACTGTCCATTTTGCCCCACTTGCCTCTCCCTAATTAGGTATAATGTCCTCTTCACCTCCTCAGAAAATTACATCATCTAATATTTTCCAATCAAATCTGTAATCGCAAGTCGTTAATTGCATGATATCGTGACTTTTATTGGTCGAATGCGGAACGGAATATTCGTTTTTAATTGGTGGAATAATTTTCTGTAATCCGAAATATTAGTTGAGGTAGTTCATTATTTAATAAATTTAATTCATTCATTTCATTTATTTAATGAAACTTATCATGTTCTCGAGAATTTGCATATTTCTCTTTAAAATTGAACGATCAAACATGAAGTATTCTTCAATTTAACAAAATCATAACGTTCCATAGTAAAGTCCACTATAAAGCTTTTGAATAACTTGAGTGAAATTAATAGTCATCTAGTGAACCGTTCAGTATTCGAACTATTCCAGAAGAAATAGGGGAGAGCGGAGTAAAATGCGATAGAAACGTATAATGGACCGCGGGCTGGAATAGAATAGTATGAAGCTTAATCAATATATAGCTCTTTCTAGTCAACAATGTTAGGTAGCGCAAGTACGGGTAAGTTGGGAATTCATGGAAGATGGACATCAGTGGTTATTTCGTAAGGATGGATGAGATCAATCTAATTCACTGCTTATTTTGCCCCCCTATCTCATTTTACCTTATCCTACTTTCGATACGTTTTCAATGTTCGTAGCTTAGAAACACATGTATGAATTGAGTTCCACGAAAAAAATCCTATTTCAGTAACAATTCAACGCGTCATTAGTGTTTCAAAAACGTCGAGTGTCCATTTTACCCCACGTGAGGCACGCAATTAGGTATAATGTCCCCATCACCTCCTCAGAAAATGACATCATCTAATATTTTCCAACCAAAATTCCCACCATTCGAAACCTAGCCAATTAATCTCATCGAAGGACAGTAAATCAATACCTCTCTCATCGTGCGATAGCCCGGCGAGCATCTGGTAGAAGATATGATAATTCTTTTCGTCCGGCAGTGGTCTGATGACCCTCGTCTGATCCAAAAAATAGCAGTGGATTTTCGTTCTGTACAAAGCACCATCGGTCACTTGGACCTCTATAAAGTGACCCTAATAAATCGAAACGACAGAGAAAAAGAAATATAAGCCACACGTGACGCGATGAATATGGTCAGGGCTATAAAAAAAAAAAAAGAAAGAATGTGCTCACGATTCTCGAGCTCTCAGAATTGGTGCCTGTCTTGGCTGATCCGAGTGAGCGGAGAACAGTGAAGGCAGCAGCGAGGTGCTTGAATGCATCAGTCTCAGGACCACCTCCAGCGACGTCAAAGAGTTGTCTCAGCAGTAGCATCGAGGCATAAGTCTTGCCAGAGCCACTTGTACCTGCGAATCATATCACCACGAAAATCCATGATTCTTTATCTCGATCGTTCTATCTGGTTTCAAAATCCCAGGCACACACAGACACGTGTGGAATAAGACAGGCTGTCTAGATAGTAAATGCTTCAAGGTGGCTCACCCGAGAGGATGATGGCCTGTGGGTAACCAGTCTCCGACTGTTGTCTCACGGCTTCCTGCACGACCTTGTTGAGCTGCGGTGCCAGGGGCACTGCTCGTGTACTCGTCAGTGTCAATGGATTTCCAACGTCCGTATAAGGGTTGATACTCACCAGGATTGGGCCCACATTCGTCTGGAAGCCAATTTTATTTATCGTTATTTGAATCAGTTTTGTCTGGTATTAATGAAAATTGTGAATTGGTTATGCGGTTAGCGAAGGAATGAAATTTAAGGATAATCAAGGATTTTTTGCAATTTGATACAGACCACACACTGTTGGAACAAAAATGAAATTTCAGGTTTCAAATTCCAGAATTTTGAGCAGCATAAAGATGAGAATTCCTTAATTTATTTGAATTTCTAATCTAATATGAATATTCAGTGTCAAATTACATTGAATTTTCAGTCAAACCTGAAATTTCATGATTATTTCCTCCTAAATCGCATTCAGTGTCACTGTCCTGAAAATTCAAGAATATATTTACCAAAATTTTCTGGTTTTCTATTCATTTTCAGGGAAAATGGAACTGAAATTTACGCTTGTTCTTGATTTTTCCACGAAATTCTGAATTTTCAATGACAAGATTTCCTGAAATTTCAGTGGAACTTAAATACAGTCAAAATTTCCGGAATTTGGCACGGAAAATTCAGACAAAAATTTTTAACAGCGCGCTATAGATTCAACCATTTTCAATCATCAAATTTCTCAATTAAATAGCGTGAGAAGAATTAGAAAAAAAAAAGAATATTCAGCATCAGTTAAATTACATTTTGCAGAATTATCATTTTTCTAAACATTCGTTATTTAGAAATAACTAATTGAAATTGTAGGAAACGTAGGAAAAATAGCCAAAGTACTTGGATATGCTTAAGGAAGAGTCCAGTAGTCATTTTCCGAAGACATGCTCCGTTTCAAAATGAAACATTTAATCCCCCATCGGATGATTTTAGAATTTGTTGCATTAAAAACCACGTCAAGAATGTAACTTCAAACTGCATAAAAAAAGACCAATTTTAATGCAGGCACTGTCCTCGATGCCTCAAGCACATTTTTGATGCCCTCAAAACCCAATCATTTTCCCCATCTTTTCTCCAATTTTTCAGAGCCAAGTGTTCAGAATAAATAATACCCTCTCACGGGCTTTGGGGAATGAAAATAAAATATTTTCAACACTGAAGAGAGAAAAAGAAGGACCAAGGGGTAAATAAATATCGATACAAGTGGGCGGAGAAGGAATGATCGGCGGAACGGGCCAACGGCAAAGGAGAAAAAGGGGCAGGGTTGAGAAGGACGACAGAGATGAAAACCGGTCTCTCATACACTCATCGGGTTCTTCTTTCTGGAATGGAAAAGAAATGCCTGGTCGATGCACAGGGCCTTGTGAGAAAGAGTTTTGCCTCGTAAACCGATTACACACCTGCGGGCACGTACGTGGGCCACAGTATTGGAGACTCCGGGGTGGGAGGAAAAGAGAGCCTCCGTACCTCCAGAATGATCCGATACATCTGGAGATTCAATCCCTCTACCTATTCGACTGCATATGGTAATTCTATTATGGAGATACATGACAAGGGGTTGAAGTGGGGGAGGATCAAAATACTTTGAAAATTCCGCGGTGTCCTGTTATTCAGGAAATAGCTGAGGTTTTCCCTGGATTCGCCCATCATTTTACGTGAATTTCGAGTATTTTGATATTGAGAGAATTCATTGTGGTGGAGGAGGAATAATTAGAATAATTAGGAATTTTCCTTTGCCCGTGGCATTGCGCAGAGGGAACTCAATCTTCAAACTACCAACATTGTTCTTAAAATTGGGAAAATTGTGCTTAAATTTAGGGCAATTGTTACTGTTTAGCAACTGTGAGAGATACCATCGAGAAGGTAAATTAATTTCATCCTGAATTATGGAGGAGAATGTTTGCTTAAGTAGTTTTTTATCATTTTTATAATCAATTTCTTTGATAGAAAGCAATTTTTATTTGAATTTGGCATTTGTTGAATTTGAAAAAATCTCAAGAATGTACACTGTTAAAAAATTTTGTCTGAAATTTTCGGTACACTTTTTGGAAATTTTTGTCGAATTTAATTATCACTGAAATTTCAAGGAATTTCGTCAAAATTTAGAATTTCGTGGAAAAATCAAGAACAAGCGTAAATTTCAGCTCCATTTTCCCTGAAAATGAATAGAAAACCAGAAAATTCCGGTAAAAATATTCTTGTATTTTTAGGGCAGTGACACTGAATTGATTTAGGAAAAAAAATCAGGAAATTTCAGATTTCACTGAAAATTCAATGTAATATGGCACTGAAGATTCATATTAAATTGGAAATTCAAATAAATTAACGAATTCTCGTCTTTCTGCTGCTTAAAATTCTGGAATTTTCCTGAATTTTCAGTGAAACCTGAACTTTCATCTTTTATTTCCCCCTAAATCGCATTCAGTGTCCCTGTCCTGACAATTAGTCGTCCACTGTCCATGAAATTTAATTTCTTTTCTAACAGTGTAACTTTAAATTGAACAAAAAAACTAATGTTAATGTGGAGACTGTCCTCAATGCCTAAAGCACATTTTTGCAACCCATTAATTCACAAACTCAAGTTCACACTTGGAAAAGTTTGAATAATAATATGCAAAATATCCAGGAAAATTGCCGAGGTACTAGGATATTCTTAAATTAAAAACCAATTCCTAATTCAGGAGGAAAACATTCATTGTGTGACCACAGTCGTCTATGGTGAGGAAAAAGGGAGCCCCCGATGTGTGCATAAATATGCGCACATGTTGGGATTTAATACTCGAGTGTGTTGGTGCACGAGCCGAACCGGTGGCAACGTGCAGCAACCTCGAGGCATCTCGCGTTGCTCCGTTTGCATTCTTCAGAGTCCCCAGAGTGAATACAAGCCCGAGGCGCCGCGCACCACCATCTCTCTCGCTTCAACCTGAGACCCACCGAGTCTCATTATGCACAGTTTGGCCCAATGAAGTATCATAAATGTACGCAAGTAGTACAGGCTGCAAACTATTCAGTCGACGGGTACTGTTGAACGTGTGCCAATCACGAATTATTTGAGCTCACTGGGAAAAAAATAGTGGCAGATTGGCTGATTTAAACAGGGAAAAATAAAAAATGAGAATCAAAACTCAGAGTGATGTAAAGAAGCTGAGGTAAGGGAGCCGGGATAATTGGATCATATTTCAACAATTACTGGCGAAAAGGAGGAACGGAAGAGCAAAGTCGGGGGGCGCAAACTAATTTTATATGTGTCCCCGAAAAAAAAATAATTTCCCTATAAATTATTTAGTTTCTGCCAATGTCACAGGTTTCGCAAAGAAAATTCGAGTTTTTCCCTTGAAATTATCACTTGTTTCGTGAAAATTAGAGGTGTTTAGTGGAAATGTGTACACACTAATCAATAATATTCACTTGATATAACCGGAGGCTTATTGAATTTAATTTCCAAATTGTTTTGTCAATCACGAATTATTTGCGCTCACTGGAAGAAAAATAGTGGCAGATTGGCTGATTTAAACAGGGAAAAATAAAAAATGAGAATTAAAAGTCAGAGTGATGTAAAGAAGCTGAGGTAAGGGAGCCGGGATAATTGGATCATATTTCAACAATTATTGGCGAAAAGGAGGAACGGAAGAGCAAAGTCGGGGGGCACGAAGAGATGTTATGCGTGCCCCCTAAAAACAATTATTCCCCTATAAATTATTTAGTTCCTGCCAATGTCACAGGTTTTGCAAAGAAAATTCGAGTTTTCCCTTGAAATCATCATTTGTTTCGTGGAAATTAGAGGTGTTTAATGGAAATGCATATACACTACTCATTAATATTTACCTGATATAACCGGAGGCTCATTCAATTCAATTTCCAAATTATTTTGTCAATCACGAATTATTTGCGCTCACTGGGACAAAAATAGTGGCAGATTGATTGATTTAAAGAGGAAAAAATAAAAAATGAGAATTGAAATTCGAAGTGATATAGGGGAATTGAGGGAGTCGGGATAATTTGGATCATATTTCAACAATTACTGGCGAAAAGGAGAAACAGAAGATAGTCCACACGCAACACTCCCTTCCCGTGTGCACTTCTAGTGCGGTAAGGTTTTGAGGTGTTTCCTTATGTTTTCGGGTATGAGAAATCCGAATCCGGTGGTATTTTTTATGTAAGTGCGTGCAATTAATAGTTATAAACAAATTAAGTGGTTTTTTTGATTATTTTTTTTTATGGGAAACATTGGCAAATAGAAGAAAATGTTCATGACAAAAGTTGTTCCTTTTTGTGTAATGAATAATGATCAATTTTTTAAATAAAAATCCATCAATCCGTTGCCGAAATATGGACCACCAGGTGAACGTNTTTTCTTCTATTTGCCAATGTTCCCATAAAAAAAAATCATCAAAAAAACCACTTAATTTGTTTATAACTATTAATTGCACGCACTTACATAAAAAATACCACCGGATTCGGATTTCTCATACCCGAAAACATAAGAAAACACCTCAAAACCTTACCGCACTAGCAGTGCACACGGGAAGGGGGTATTGCGTGTGGACTAAGAGTCGGTGGGCGCGAGGTAATTTTATGCGTTCTCCCTAAGAAAAATTATTCCGCTATAAATTATTTAGTTCCTGCCACTGTCACAGGTTTCGCAAAGAAAATTCGAGTTTTCCTTTGAAATTATCATTTGTTTCTTGAGAATTATAAGTGTTTACTGGAAATGTATACATATTACTCAATAATATTTACTTGATATAACCGGAGGCTCATTCAATTGAGTTTCCAAATTGTTTTGAAAAATAATAAAGCAAAAAAAGAGTAGTAAAAAATTATCAAATTTACGGAAAATAATTGGATCAAAGGCACAATTTTGTATGTCTCTGCATAGAAAAATATGTAATCCCTCAATGAACAATTGGATAATTTATTTACCAGAAGGCTAATTTTTTTCGAGGGAAAAATTACTCGAGAGCACTTGGCAACTGGTTTCCTGCGTTATTATTTCATATCGCTTTTAACATAATCAAGTGCTGTGGAATGAAAACATCCACTAATATTCGTAAAATATTCGCAAATATGATCGCATGTTTTTGCTAAATTCATGTTGCGGTGTACGTTAATACCATCATTTTAATATCGAACGAAGTGCTTCTGGTTCTCAAAATACATTCATTAATACGGCAGGATTTCATTCTCATCTCTCCAATTTGGAGCTGAATCATTTCCATCCATTCGTGGGTCGTTCATACGTAAACAATGGAGTGGTAGAGGTTATTATTATAAATGTAAACCTGACAGTATTTTATCATATTATATCCCATGCATGTAATTAAATTTGCCATTGAAATGAAGAGGATTGTGTGCACACGATGAAAGTAAAAATTGAGGGAAGGAGCATTTCAACTCACGTGATATTGCTTTGCGCAGAAACGTGCCTGCAGACATTTGAGCACAGCGTCCTCGGTTAGAGGCCCGGGTAAGTGAATAAGGTCTTCCAAAGTAGTTGAGTTTGCGGCAACGTTTGCCTGGCTCGATGTCTTTGAAATGCATCGCTGCTGTATCTGCGAACCCTTTCCGCTTTTAACGTCTGCAATGATCCTGGATATGGGCGGTGACCGTAGGGCACCAAGAGCCGTTACACACGATACTAGTCCATCGTCGGGACGCTTCGGCGCATCCAGATCTGTTTTAAATGAAACCATAGACTGCTTCATAAAAATTGAAGTTTCGTGGAAAGTTGGTTGTCATTTTCGAGGGAGTGACAGAACTAGATTTAGGGATGAAACATCATGAAATTTCGAATTTTACTGAAAATTCAATAGAATTAGACGTTTTGGGAATCAGAAAAACCAGAATTTTTATACACTGTTGGAAATTTTTTGAAGTTTCGTGGAAGATATCATAGTACATCTCATGAGAGTGACATTGAATCGGATTTAGGGGAAAAATGATTATGAAATTTGAAGTTTTAGGTAGAATTCAAAGAAATTCATGAGTTTTTAGTGCGAGTGAGATAGAAATTTCACAAATTGATTGAATTTTCAATGCAACCTGAATATTCAAAAACAAAATGACACGAATTTTCAATTTTTCTCTGAATAATTGAACTGAAAAATCAAGTATTTTATTGATTTCCGGATCATTCAAACAGAAAATCAATGGAATATTTGATTTTTCAATGACAACATTTCCTGAAATTTCAGTGGAACTTGAACACGATAAAAATTTACGAAATTTGGCAGGGAAAATTCAGGCGAAAATTTTTAAAAGTGTACTTACTCAAATTTTTATTTCATTCAATCATTTGAAGATTCAAGAATTCATTGATCTAAATTTCCCTAATTACCATGAATTTTCACGGAATAATCGGTCTCAAATTTTGGAATAATGACGAAATTACCTGGAGGTTCAGTGTCATTTAACAAAAATTTAGTACCTCGAAAATTTTAGTCAAAAATTTCGAACATCGAGACTTTTCAATAATATCACATATATCATAAATTTTCGTAGTATGAATAAACAGTAAAAAATTCGAAAAAATAAAAAAATTGAATAAAAAAAAATCGTAAAATAAATAAAACGTTTCCTCGAATATTCTCAATTTCGTGTTCATCGTTCTCCGCACGTTACATACGAAAAATAAATAAATGAACAGTTTCATATTTGTGACGAAAAATCACAGGCAATTAAATATTTACGAGTGTGGTAGAATCCATGAATAATTTCGATAAAAGGATTCAAATTGCCGATGTGAATCAGGATTTTAGCCGCCACACGTGGCCACGACTATAGAGGAATATCGGTGGAATATGTGAATGGAGATGATGTGGGGCTAGAGGTCAGAGGTGGGAGAATATGCGAGAGATAAGAGCGTTGACACACTGAAAATACAGTGGCTCCACGGATTTTGAGAATTAATCGGGGGATGAAGGTTTAATGAGACCACCGCGGGGCCTCGGCAAAATGGAGGTACGATGTCCCATTCGGAATGTGAATCCTACCAACCAGATATTAAATTGTTTGCGGTAGAATTGTGGCCAAGACCGTTGGTGGTAGAGTGATTGGCGTGCGGATGTATAATAGCGGATGCTGTGACGCTGTGACCGGATGTGTGTCCAATTCCATGGGGCACAGTGGCGTTGTGACCGTGAGTTGTGCGTGGTGGTACTGCTGGTGCTACTGATGCGTTAGCACCCTTATCACATGCCGGTGTCAAGGCACTGTTTGTACCACTACCACCACTACCACTCGTTGAGTTATTGCCGGGCTGGCTCACGTGCAAACGATTCCTCAAGGTAACAAGCTCTGTGCTGAGACTGCGAAGACGCTGCTGCAGGTGGACAGCTTCGTTGGATGAGGATGCATCTGAAAATGCAGGAAATCAAGCGGTTAGATGTGAATTTACACAGAGAAGAAGTAATGTATTGTGTTACTAGTGCGTAAAGTTCCACTTTTTTGGACACACGTATAACACATCCGATTTTTTGTGATACCTCCTGTTGGATTATCGAGTCAAATTCATAGAATCCATTTAGTTAAGAAATGACGGCTACAACAATCATGAATGAATAAATTACATTTCCGAAAAATTAACAGTCAACGTTTCAAAATAGTACATTTCAACACTAGGTCGTGAGGAACTTTTCTGGCGAATATGAGGTTACAAAATATTGTTGAAATAAAAAAAGAAATTCCAAATAAAGAATTTCTTTGATTGAAATGGATCATTCCCTTGGGTGTAGGAAAAAATGTATCAAATTCTGCCATCACTTCGATGACATCGCGTACAATTTTTCAACTCATCAAGCTGTCAGCCCGGAAACATCAGTTTGATTCACACCCCTCGATTTTATCAACGTAAATTCTCAATTTCAGAGCCATTTTTTCTCTGTCATCCAGAGATCATTTCCAACGATATCAATGGAGTAATCATCTAAGCACATGTCGAATGTACTGGGACTTCAATCAAAAGTGGTAAACGATGTATCTGTCATCGACATCAATATTCCCACAGGGGCCCCAAGGCCATCTAGCCCGGAGGTAAACATTGAATGATGAATCATGACAAGAGGCAAAAGTGGTAAAAGCACGTAACATCTGACTCGGAATGAATAATTCCATTTCAGACGCCTCACCTTCCACGTTTCACCAATTCTCTCCTCTTTTAAAACTATTCTCTAGCATTGTATCTCTCCGTTTAACGGTATACTCGAGTTGAAAAGGGGCTGTGCGCTCTTGTGCAGTGCTTTTAGCACACGACTGAGGTAAAAAGAATTCCTTTAGCTACTCGTATTGCTTCAGACTTACAGAGGAGTGAAGTGTAATCACTGGGCTGCTGGTTCGATCGGGGAAATCTGGAAGAGATTGAAATATCAGATATTCCGCGGCTGGAGGGGGCGGGAGAGGGGGGGGGGAGCTGAATATCTTTAATTGCAGATGCTGCGACAGGGAATGGCGTTCGATGACCTCTGAATCTATACGGATTGCGTATAGAATTCCTATAGGATTTTCATATATGATATTCGGATATTTCTGTAGGGATATTTTTTATACAAATTATTTCTATACGATTTCTATAGGTTTGATCCTATACGACCCACTGCCACATCTATAGAAACATTTCGTGTGGAGTTGCGACATTTCTCTACGTTTTTCTCTGGAGCGTTTAGACATCTTTCGTATGAAAAGAAAAATTTATGCAAAAATTTATCTATAAAAATAATTCGTATAGAAAATATTCGAATAGAAATATCCGAATATCATAGACGGAAATACTATAGAATTTCTATACACAATCCATACCGAAAATTTCTATACGATTTTTTCATACGTGTATCCCTAGAAAACAGATTTTTTTACGATTGTCCCCATGTTTTTTATCGATAATGTTTATAACAGTCCTCAGCTATTGAATAAATGCTAACTAGGTGTACTACACAATTTAGAAGATGATAAATAATGGAATGCGGGCTTCTATTGCAAGCGGGGGATACACTGTTGAAAATTTTTGTCTTACACTTTTTTTAAATTTTTATCGATCTTAATTACCACTGAAATTTCAAGGGATTTCGTAATTGAAAATTCAGAATTTCGTGGAAAAATTAGACAGAACTGTAAATTTCAGTTCCATTTTTCCCTGAAAGTAAGTAGAAAACCAGAAAATTTGGGTAAATATATTCTTGAATTTTCAGGACAGTGACACTGAATGCGATTTGGGGGGGGGAATCATAAAATTTAAGATTTCACTGAAAATTCAATGGAATTTGGCACTGAATATTCATATTAGATTGGGAATTCAAATAAATGGGGGAATTCTCGTCTTTACGCTGCTTAAAATTCTGGAATTTCACTGAATTTTCAACAATAAAATTTTCGGGAAGAGTCAACACAGTGTTTATGCGAAACTGTACGAGGAGAACTGGTTTCCCTATCTCTCCCTCTCTCACTATCCATCCACTGTGAATCCTCATTCGTACTAACCATTGGGCCATCAAAGTGAAGTCCCTGCGTACCTCCGAGCCCTCAGTGCATGCCCATACGAATTTATCAATCGACTTCGCACTGAGTGTAATAAGCAGGGTGGGGGTAGGTGTACGGTGCTTGTGTCGGGGGCTATCATCAGTGTGGAGAAATGCGTGAGACACGCGAGTCAAGGTCTGGAGGGACGGGGAGGGATAAGGAGTAAATGAAGGAACGTTGAGATAACAAAAACACCGGTTCATTCACGCCATTTCGGCGATAGATGGATAACGATGGAGTTCTGGAGGGCCTGAAAAATTCTCGAAATGATTCCCGACATTCTTGAGTGGAGTTGGGACAGGTGGAGAACAGGTGAATAGTGATATTCAGTGGAGTGAGGTGGTGCAAGACACCTCTACCGTTAATGCATGAGGTCAATTGGCGGAGGTTCGGAAATTTTATTCTCTAATTTCAGATAAAAGTTGCTCAAAAAGCGCAACTTCAACTGAAATGCCCGGAAGCGCTAAGTGCGGGATGTTTACGTAAAGACACGGAAAGAATGTGAAACTAAAGGGAATTTTGAAGATTGATATTCAAAGATATCGCCGGAATTCACGTTTTGAAAAAATATGAAATTTTTGGAAATTATTCTATAAATCAAAACAAAGATTAGTACACGGTTAGAAAAAAATGAAATTTCATGGACATTTGATTACTAATTTTCAGGACAGTGACACGGAATGCGATTTAGGAGGAAAAAAATTATGAAATATCAAGTTTCAGTGAAAATTCTATGAAATTCCAGAATTTTAAGCAGTATAAAAACGAGAATTCCTTAATTTATTTGAATTTCCAATTCTTTAAGTCATCATCTAATGAATTCAGAACATTTTTTCTTGTTATCGTGGGACAACCGATTTAACAAAATTTTGGAACATTCTAAAAATTACTTAAGGAATTAAATTTCAAATAATGTCGATGGATAGGGCATAACACTACCTACATTTGGAAAAAAGTTTGTCCATCGACATTAACTGAAATTTAATTCATAAATTAATTTTTAGAATTTTTACAATTCCATCGATTCATTAGTGAACAATGAGAGAAAAACTTGGTGACATTTTTGGACTTATTGGATCATAATGGGTTAATCTATTACAAAGCTTCCATTCGGAAGCAAAAAAATAATGAAAAATTTGTCAGGAAATGTACCAGAAACTTTCGCATAAAAATTTTATTTCAGAAATTACAAAAAACAAGTGATATTTGTATTGAAGTAGGATAATTTCTTGCAGAGAGGTAGACAGTGATGATGAGGAAATTCGGCGGAATCTTAATGAAGTGATTCCAATGATGCATAAAGTGCATCGATTGACGCTTAACGATGCTTAAAGTCGACAGAATCATGTCACCTAGTAAATACCATCCTGGTGTCACTCGATGTCAATGTTCCCAACACTTCATAAAAAAACCAAACATCGGCTTGAATTCCACGGATCCTTCACTGAAAAATCTTCTCTCAATACTCCATGGGACAGGAGAAGTGGGACGAAGCGATGAGGGGGGGACTTTATACCGATGCAATTCCCACCCGAGTAGTAAATGAACACCAAACAGAGATTTGGTTTGTTTGAACGATTTGTCCGTTGAGTCACAGCGAAATAGTATGCGAACACCGGGCACTTCACGCTCCACAAGGTTTACGGGATATTTAGTGGTCCTGGGTTGCCATACCCATACACAGACTCAAACTCGTTTGTGTTTCAGAGCCATTGCCTCACCCGTAAACCGTGTGCGCACTGCACGCGGTTGTATCCCAACGAATAACCCCAAGAAGTTGTATATGCTCCATGGAGAATGACTTGTGGACAAATGTCTACTACCGAGTGTAAAAAACTGACAGGAAAAAAGATCAGATCTCACTCTGAAAAAACTACATTATGCTTTTAGAAAAAAATTTGAATTTCATGGACATGCACGTTCCGGAAATTTTTATCGAATTTAATTACCACTGAATTTTCAAAGAATTTTGTCCTTGAAAATTCAGAATTTCGTAGAAAAATCAAACAGAACTGTGAATTTCCGTTCCATTTTTCCCTTAAAATGAATAAAAAATCAGAAAATTCCGGTAAATATATTCTTAAAATTTCAGGACAGTGACACTGAATGCGATTTAGGGGGAAAAAATCATGAAATTTCAGATTTCACAGAAAATTCAATGTAATTTGACACTGAATATTCAGATTAGATTAGAAATTCAAATAAATTGAGGAACTCGCATCTTTACGCCTCTTAAAATTCTGGAATTTTACTAAATTTTCATGATTTTTTTTCCCTAAATCGTATTCAGTGTCACTGTCCTGAATATTGGTAGTCAACTGTCCATGAAATTTCATTTTTTTATCTAAAAGTGTGCAGTTGACTAGTAATTAAAAGAGAGTGATGTGTTGAATATAATTTAGGAGGGAAGAATCATGATAGTTCAAATTTCAGTGACAATTTACTCAATGATGATTGCGGCCAATCACAGTGCAGCAGTCGGGTTCACGTGATACCTTCACATTAGTTATTTTCAAACTGATAATTCACAGTAGCCTTTCAATTATTTTCGCTCCTTTTGAAAGATATTCCCCACGTTTTGGTGCAAAGTGTCACGTAATCGGGGAAAACGTATATAGTGTCCAAAAATTCAGCGCCAGAAAGGACGACAAGAATTCCCGAGCGTTCTTGAATCTTAACTCAAAGTATAAATATCAAGTACCAAATTACTCTGAATTTTCAATTATTTGGACATTCAATAACATATGTACCAGAATTTTTCCGATTTCGATCACTTTTTATAGAATAATTGAACTGAAATCTATAATTTTCATTAACTTTTCGAGAAAATTTTGACTTTTCAATGA